TCTCTTTAACACCAAAGTGAGATATCAAACATGCTATGATTTAGACTTAGAGTATACCAGAATATCGTCAATAAAGACAATGACAAACATGTCCAAATATGGCTGGAGTACTCGATTCATCAAATCCATAAAAGCTGCAGGTGCATTAGTTAATTCGAATGGCATCACAAGAAACTCATAATGACCATATCGAGTCCTAAAAGCCATCTTAGGAACATCCTCACTTTTAATCTTCAATTGATAGTAACCAGACCTCAAATCAATCTTAGAAAACATGCAAGCGCCTCGAAACTGATCAAATAAATCATCTATATGCTGCAACGTATAACGGTTTTTAATCATTACCCAATTCAACTGCCGATAATCAATACATAACCTCAAAGTCCCGTCTTTCTTTAGAACAAATAAAACTGGAGCTCCCCAAGGTGAAGTACTAGGCTGAATAAAACCCTTATCAACTAATTCTTGCAACTGGATTTTCAATTCCCTCAATTTAGCATGAGTCATTCGATAAGGAGTTAAAGATATAGGGTCTGTACCTGGAAGCAAATCAATAGTGAACTCCACATCTCGATCTAGCGGCAATCCAGGTAAATCATCAGCGAAAACATCAGGAAAATGCCTGACTACTCGCACATCCTCCACACTGTTAGGAACATAATTGTTTAGCACCACATGAGCCAAATATCCTTGACAACCTTTCTCTAACAACTTTTTAGCCCTCATGGCAGAAATGACACCATGCTTCACCCCATTATATTTGACACCATGCCAAATATCCTTGATTCTACAAACTTCAGACTTGCATTCATTCACAAACTTAAAGTCTTGGAAGCGAAAATGTTGTCAGTCGTGTCTCACTTCAGGCAAGTAAATGTCTTTCTGGCGATTGAAGCGATCAACCAGAGCGAGCCAGAGGTGAGAGAGGTACTCGGTCTGTAGTGCATCATGGATATGTTTTTGGATAAAGATCATAGCAGTAGCATTCTGAGCTTCGTCAATCGGGACGTCTATAGGTTCCTTGATGGTGGCTAGAAGACTCTTTGCGGTAAGATGGAGCTTCACGTCTTGAACCCACTTCAGGTAGTTTCTTCCAGATACTTCCAAAGTGGTAAAATCGAGCTTGTTCAAGTTCGACATGTCCCTAAAACAGAGGGTACAACAAAAACATGGATAGTCATATGGAAGACATACATTGTAGAACATTTGGGTTCTATAGATATGTATAGGTTTAATTTAAACATGAAAGCTTCGAGTTTCATGAGGTAAGTTTTGAATGAAAACTTCAAGTTTCAAATGCACTAAATTGGAAACTACAAGTTCGATTTAGCTATCAACTTTTGATTCATATATAGGGGTACTTGCAAGAACACAGAATACAATATACAACAAAGTGTAGTGAATTTGGGGATTGCTTCAGAAACCCAAGGGTGAGTGCATAAGGATAACGAAAGATAGTCAACGGTTCATTGAAAAGAAATAATTTGGTGAATCATTAATTGACAAAAAAATGGGCTTCAGGCCAATAATTTTGGATGCCTTGTCAGATTAATGGGCAGCTGGTCACTTTAATTAAGTCAATAAATTGTAGCCATCTACGTTTGATCGTAAGAGCAAAATAATGACATTCAGGTCACAATAGCTTGAATTTTGGCTTCGAGCCAAGCCATAATAAAATTATAGCCTGATAAGCGCTCACCATAACATCCCAAAAATTATAGGAGTATGGTTATGAAGCAAGGATGCCAAAATATGGCCTCAAGTTCGAAAAAGGATGCATCCCATCTTTGTGGGTTGGCTACAGTGCACGGGGCATGGCCCTGTAGGGTGCTGCAGGCCTATTGGTCCACAGGGAAGGGCTGTAAAGCAGCTTAAACATGGCTGCAGGCCACAGACTATTTCTAGGATAAAGCCCAATAGCGCAAGCTGCTAGTTTGGGCCAAAAATGGTGCAGGGAACAGACCTAGCACGGGCTAGCCTGGGGTGTGTGCGCGAAGCCTAGCCATAAGGGCTGGCTTATGTGGTCATGGTGAGCCTAGCAAGCAAAATGCTTGCTATAGGCGGGCTGATGCGTGGACAGAGCCCAGCAAGCAAAAGCTTGCTGGCGTTTTTAGGCCAGGCTGTACGGGACGCCCCAACAAGGCTTGTAGGCTTGCTAGAGTTCCATGGCGTAGAAATGACACCGTCCTTCGTGGTGGTGTGGCTGCAGGCTAGCTAGCTCGACTTGACAGAGCAACGTGGAGTCTCTGCTCAGCCGCAAATAATCCCAGATTTTTTTTTGTTTTTTTGTTTTTTTCGAATTCTAGGATTAAAAACCCTAATTGCTTCTAAATTAATTCCGATGCTTTGACTCACAAATTTCACGTAGCAGAATGGCGTATTGCATGAACAAATATATATGTTCATAAAATATAAGGTAAATTACACAAAACTACCTCAACTGTGAGTCGCACTACAATTTCATACCTCATGTTTTAAGCATTACAATGTCATATTTCAATTTACGAATTCGTTGCAATGTTATACTTTTGTTGAAAATTCCATCAATTTATCCGTTAACTGTTGACGTAGCAAAGCAGGACCACATGTTTAACGACATATCATCAAATTTTGCCACGTGGCAAAAAAATAATTTTAAAAAGACTAATAATTTAATAATGACAAAAATAAGAAGGGAATTATTATTAGTACTTCAAAAATCTCATTCCACACTCCAAACTTTTTATATTAAGAAAAAAAATATATTTATGTAGAATCTAGAATGAAATTTTTGGAGTACCAATAACACTTTTCAATAAAAAAATCTATTTAACATATAATTACATTAGATAACGAACATTTTAACAAAAAAATTAAAATAAATGAAAAAAAAATATGAAAAACTAAGAAACCCTAACCTCCCTCACCCCCTCGCCTCCAAATTGAGATCCGCCGATCCACCATCACGATTCACAACTCCACTGACCTTATTCCCCAATTCACATCGTAGTCGCAGGGTCCGAACCCACCATCCCAACTCCATCAACTCGAACTCCAACGAGAGTGACTCCTCACGCGACTGAACTGCAATTGGCCCAGACAAGTTCATGGTTGAATTTCAGATCTAGATCATGGGTTTTCTGGCCGATCCCACAACCTCTTTCTTCTCACGGGGGTGCGGTGGTGGACCTTTATAGGCTGTGCATGTTGTAGCATGACGATGAGGACCTCGATTTTGATTAGTACATAATATCCAACTTCGACGAAGAAAACCCACCACTCGAATCCGAAGAGCTAGAACTTGAATCATCAGGAACTCGGTTCTGGTGACTATTTCTCGAATTTTTCATCTCGAAATCTGCCATGGAATTTCGTCGAAGGGTTCGTCAATGGAACGGTAAATGGAGTCGATGAGGGTGGTAAAGAGATGGGTTGTCTCTGCTGTGTCCATAGCAGAGGCCATCTCGAATTTTTGGAAGTGATTCGATATTCCACCCCTCCATTTTTATCTGGTTTTATAGTGGTTCAAAATCAGTATTGGGAAATAGTTGTTCTGGGTTTGAGAATGCACCTGGGTGGGAAACGAACTGGTTGTGTGATTGCTAAAGGGAAAGATGAAGATGATTGTTTAATCCTTTTTATTGTTGCAAATAATAATAATAATAATAATTAACTAATGTAATTATATTTTAAATAGATTTTCTAGATATTGGCATTATTAAATTATTTTTTTTTGCCATGTGGCGAAAATTTGATGATATGTCATTAAACATGCGGCTCTGTTTTTGCCATGTCAACAGTTAATAGATAAACTGATGGAATTTTTTAACAGAGGTATGATATTACAATGAATTCGTAAATTGAGATATGACATTGTAATGTTTAAAACATGAGGTATGAAATTGTAGTACAACTCATAAGTAAGATAGTTTTGTATAATTTACTATAAAATATAAAAAAAGCAAATGCAATATATATATTGGAAAGAAAATATAACTATAGAGGGTTCATATATCATGGGAAATGTTTTCATACTTCAATGTCGTTTCAAATATTTTAATTTATTTTAAAAAAACCTGATTGGCAAAAAACAATTGATGTTGTAGAAGTGCCTCCTCCACAAACCTTAAGTTCATTAGCTTCTAGCAAGAACGTGTTGATAATGTGTTGTAAACCTAAGTTCCTTAGCTTCTAGTAAGAACGTGTTGATAAGGTATTGTAAACCAAATTTACTGAACTGTATTAAGGACATGGAGAGGGGACAACACAAAGAGAGAAGATTTAACATGTGTATTTGTGAGGTATGTGTTATATCACCCTATTATGCCTTTATTTATAGTGGTAGGGAATGTTAAATCTTTACCCTAATAGCATTATAACTCTAAAAGGATAATATCTAACCTTAAATAATCTTCTAGGATATCCCAAATACTTTAGGATTTACACAATCACATTCCTAATCTAATCGGACTGCAACACACATACACACACATATATATAAGTAAGTATTTTAAGGATAATAATGGGTGGAAAAATAACATTTCAATTTTTTACTTTAAATTGGGGTGGGGATTATAACGTGGGTGAGTAGCTCTCTCTATATATATGGTTACGTGATATGTACTAATTCTCTAAAGCATAGACAGCCTACCTACATCCCTGCTCCTGCAGAAAGCCTCTCCCCCATTTGTGATCAATTTTCCTCTCCCTTTCTCCTTCCGCTGCAGATTTTGGGTCACCTTGTTACGGTGATTTTGCTTTCTCGCTTTGGTGGTCTTGAAGCTAAGCGACAGTGCCGCCACTGTTGCCAACGCAAACCTACCTACACGGTGGCTGTTCTTCTGGACTGGCTTTCTGTCCTCTCTAGATGGTCACCCTCTCGCTGCAAGTTTGTTTTCTGTTGGCTTTCCCAGAACCTTGTTTCAGTCTTCATATCTTCACTTGTTTTTCTTTAGGTGTTTAGGTTAGTGCTGGTACTTCATTTGTACCCTTATTAATGAAGTTTCATACTTCAGCAAGCAAAGCGTAAAGCCCCTTTTTGGGTTAGCTCACATTGAGTGCATAACAAAAGCGCAATGCCTGTTTTCGGGTTCGCTCACATTGAGTGCATAACGAAAGGCACTAGCGTCATAAAAGGAGAGCATGGTGGCCATCTGCTCCATTTGATGTAACAAAAATGCCTACTCTATGTGCAACAACTGCAAAAACATGAGCAACGCGAAAATGTACCATGCCTTGCCTGCATACTTGCACCAACTCACAAGCCAATGAGGCCAAGAAGATCCTCGGCCCCTACGTCCCTCCGATCCTTTGCAGCCTTCCTCTGGAAAGCTTCCTTTGCAAGTTTCTTCTTTTTGTCTTGCAACTCTATTATCCTCTCTTCAATGCTGTTTCGAGCAATCAACCTCACAATCTTCACATCTTCCTTTTGCCCGATCCGGTGAACACGATCCATTGCCTGTTCCTCAACTGCAGGGTTCCACCATGGCTCCAACAAATACACTCTATTTGCAGCTGTAAGATTTATACCTGTTCCTGAAGCCTTGAGACTTGCAAGCAAAATTGTGGGCACATCTTGTCCCGTCACCCCAAATTCTTTGATTACTTGTGCCCTTTTCTTTGCATTCATAGACCCATCTAAGCGCAAAGTCTTAAAACCAGCTGATTTCAGCGGCTCTTCAAGATATATCAGCATCTTTCGGAACTGGGAAAACACTACTGATTTCGTAAGTGGGTTTTGCTCCCTTGATGCAACAAGAAGTTGTAAGAGAGCATTTACTTTTGAAGACACGGTTGTTTTCGATGATACTGTGTTGTCACTGTCAGAAGCAGTTTGAGGGGCTGAGAACAGATCAGAATGTGATAAAGCACGGCGACAAAGGGGACAGCAGGGTTTTGTGCGCTGAAGGGTTTTCAGAATACAAGCTTGGCAAAAAATATGAGCACAACAAGTAATAACAATATCCATTGGTGGAGAAATGCAAATAGGACAGTCAAAATCTTCACCATCTTGCAGCACCTCAACAATCTTTTTCAGCAGCTCTGGGTTCTTGGACACATCTGCGTAGAATCAACTTATAAGTACAAAATGACATAATGATTTGAAACAGCCATATAATATAACTAGGAACATTGTACTAAAAGAATTATGTTACTTTCTACCAACGGGCGTATTGCTGAGGTACTTCATAAGTAGCTGAACATATAAACATTGAGTTTCTTTTTCAACTCGTCATAAATACTTATATTTGAAAGCTATATCTAATAGGAAACAAATATATGGTGGCATGTGAGCATCATTCATCACATTAAACATTCACTAAATCGTATGACACCGAGCAGCAGCAGCACAAAGTACTAATGAATTTTAAGAATAAATCTAAATTTCCAAAGGGTATGGCAGAAGCATAATCCTAAGAATAGAGATGGACATGAATCCACTGCAATGATTAATGTGATCCACGAAGATTCCCTTCATACTACTGTTTCCATGTATGCATCAAGAATGAATCGAAACATAATCGTTAGCAATGAATCAACTAGAGGACCATAGTTAGGTCTTGGATACATGGAATAGCGAAAAAAGGCTTGTCAAAATTATGGCACAGGGCCGCAGGTAAAAGCAATATTAGGTCTGGAACCACGAAGATTAAAATTCTCAATGAACCTAATACCTTCACTAAGGGATTGCAAAAACAGAGACTAAAAAAACCAAGGACACAGATTCATCGAGATGGGATTTCCAATAATATATAAGCTCCCCAACCTAGCGCCAGACTTATGAATAATTTCATTCCAATGTAAACCAAAAGTACCTAGGAACTCCATACAACAGTATTACAGAACTATTATATGCGGCATAATGGCATTTCCTGACAAGCTTACAGATGAAATCATTGCATTGAAAATGTAAATCATTACAGAAATACACAGATATACATAATTCAGGCCCTCTTTCATGCTTGGTTAATGGTGTTCATGATATTGTATCTGTGCTTTTAACTGTATTATATTTACTCATTGTCTGGCCAAATATACTCTAGAAACATAGACAACCTAGCTACCAAAATTTGCCACTTTTTCCAGAAAAAACAATAACAAAAATGCTAAATATATGCCTGTGAGTCTGCGTCCCAAAATAAACTATAAAAATGAGGAATTTATATGCCATAAAACTTTTAAATGGATTCATTACTAGTGGTTTGCCTGTAAATGCAAGATCTAATATACCAAACTGTCACCAAAGTAATATGCATGAAAACTGCCACAAAACTGATGCCTGTGCTCTGTCCAATGATTACAACTCCACAAACATAGTTCAAAGGCTGCTTTCTTCTTCTATAATATCATTCAAAACTCATCAGTATGACAATTCTTAATATTGTAATCTTTTCTTTAACTCAAATGAAGAGAGCATATTAAGAATAACGAAAAACATCCCAAAAGAATACACGCCTACCAGTTAGGGGAAGCGAGTATACAAGTACTGAACAGAATGTGAATCCAAGAATGTAAATAAGTAGAACAGAATTCTGACAAACTTAAATAAGGTTTACTGATGAAAAGAAAAATTATGACTTAGAGAACGGTAAATAAATATAGCAGTGAAAGGGTTCCAATGAACCGAGATGTATGCACGTGAGTGAAGTTGCATAAAACAAATATAAACAAGATGCACAAATATAACATCCTTTCAAATACCTTCAATATTGTTTGAAGGGAGAAGTGATTTGAGATCAGAAGGGCACAATGCCACATCAGTGCAGATCTGCCGAAGTCGTAAGATGATGCTAAGTACAGTGGAATAGTTGCGCATTAAACATTCAGCTTCAATGTAACTCCTTACGACACTCTTTGCTTCTCCTTCCATCTGATCATACAGTTGACGTTCTTCACCAGAGAGTTCCACATAACAAGTCTCTAAGGTTTTAGGAGGTAATCCAATCAGCCCCTTGTCTTTTGTTCTCCGCAAAGAAATGGTTTCCATTAGAACCTGAACTATCACACAACATATTAGGAACTTGGATTTTTGGAAACAATAAAAAAAAAAAAAAAAGGAATAAAAATATATAACATGATTCTGTCTAATTAGTTTTACCTTTAGGTTCATTATTAAAAAATAGGGAAAAATACAAAAGATGAAATAAAGCACCAAAAAGTATGCACGAAAATTAAATCAAAGGACTATTAAGGTCTTTGATTAGCTTTATAAAGAAAACAAAGTCTTCGTAGTAGATCATTGATCAACCATGTCATCAATCATATCTTTCTGATCATCTAATACTTATTTCAAAGGGAAGAAATTTGCTATCCCAGATCCTAATAACAAAGTGCGGGTGGGCGACCTAATGAAGTTTGGTTACATTAGTTAATGAGATACTAAAAAGTTCACTTGCTAAAGAACAATTTCAAGTGACTCAGCTTGACTTCAATCTAGATGCCATCCTTTTGGGTCTAGAGAGAAACCCAATCTTACAACAAACTTATAATAAAAATTAAAAACAAAAGTGAAATAAAAAAACAATGTCAAGACATTCAAAACAGAACCCAGGCACACTTCAGACACACTTCCACATCAGACATTGTATCATATGTGGAAAGAGAACGTAATAACGTCAGGATGATTCTAAAGTTAAAAGAAAATAATAATAATGATCTATTATGTTCAAATATTGTCCCAACACAAGGAGAGAACGGCATGTAATGCAAACTTCCACTGCCTGCACAAAACTCTGTTTATAGTTTATAAAAAAAAACAAATAAGAAAATAGCATGGTAGCAATTACCTGCAGCCGTAAGATCCCCTTTTGGTTGCCATGAGCAAGTGGGCGCTGCACCAAGCTTTGCCAGTAGCTCTTAATTGAAAAAGGCTCAAATCGTAGGAATGCCATCAAAGAAAACAAATCAAATGAGCCATTTTGGATGGGAGTTCCAGTAACAGCCCACCTTCGCTTAGCCTTCAAACTAGTAACAGCTTGACTTTGTTGAGCATTAACATTCTTAATCATGTGTGCCTCATCCAAAATCACCCGCCACCACTCAATCCCTTTAACAGGGGATTCTGTCCAAGAATTTTCAGTAGACAAAATACTATATGTAGTCAACACTATATCATACTCCTTAAGCTCCTCAGCATTGCTAGTCCGCTCTCCATAGTACATATACACCTTCAATCTACCCGGCCTAGTGTGTTCTCCTAGTTGTGTTACCCAAGTCGAAAATACAGAAGGTGGGCACACTATTAACGTTGTCTTGGAACTACAATACCCCGAAGACTTATCATCTACACTCACACATTTTCCTTCCATGTTGCTGCTGGCATTGGTATCCTCAGTTTTAGGTTTTTTTCGTGACCCGGTGCCTTTTTTACTTGGGGCACCCCTCTTACCCTTCTTACTATATGAAACAGACAAAGAATCATCCTCACCCATTTTGTTATCATCTAGTACGCTTACATCTACACTACCATATTTATCAAACGCAATCAAAGAAAGCAAAGTTAAAGTCTTACCCAACCCCATATCGTCTGCCAAAATCCCACCTCTTAGAGGCTCCGGTCGCTTATCAGTGTGGTAATTGGTCAAGACATTCACAAAAGAACCATCTTTCTCTTCCCAAAAGGGAGGCAATTCACCAGAATTCTCTCTATGCACCAACCATCCCAAGCCTTCTTTCTGGTGAACAAACAGCTCTGATTTGATCACTTGTTTCGGAGGTTCCAATGCTTGTAAAGCACCCTTTTTGCTCGCACTCTCCTCCACCAGCTTGAAAATCTCATCCACACTCTTGGAACCCCTCTCATCCTTCTTCTCCTTGACAACCAGTGCCTCGGATAGAGTGAAAGACGCATCAGAATCGCAAATCAGCTGCAACCCAGATCGCATAATTGCAGATTTCGCAGAGGGAAACGCTTCAAACCTTGCAAAGATGTGAACTTGGCACGGAATCTTGAACCTGTTGGCCTTAGAGCGCGTATTGGGCACAATGCCTTCGACGGAAATCAAATTCGAGTCGATCAAGGGGGCAAGGACGGCTGCGACAGAGCGTTCGATGTGACCCACCTGAAGCGTTCGGGTATTAAGGACTTTGATGGCGTTGGAATCGTAGGGATTGAGGGGTTCGCGGACAAGACCCACCATTTCTCGGCCACTGATGGTGCCTGAGTAGTATTGAATTCCAACGATGTTGGCGATGACGAAGCCGAGCATGAAGGTTTCCGAGGGAGAAGTGAGAGACTGCGAATCTTGGTCTTGGGAAGAAAGAGCGGGAAAGTCATCGGAGGAGGGCGGAGAGCCTTGCCAGTGATCGAGGGACATGAAGAATGTTACGGGATCTTCTTCCTCCATTGCTTTGATGTGATTACCTTCTACAATTTGGACGATGAATGGCGGTTTAGGGTTTAAACTCACTGGAATTTTCAGTTTCTCTACGTTTTATAATTTTTTTTCAGTTCAGGAGAGAGAGAGAGAGGGAGAGAGGAATCAGTGCGTCGGCTTCTGATTCGGTGTCGCAATCATAAACGAGGGTTTTTGAATGAAATGGAAAGGAGGGGTGGGTTGAAAGAGAAATTGACACGCACATTTTACACCCGTTGCTCGGAATTCAAATGTCTAGCATCATCTCCAATGGAGTAGGGGTGGGTTAAAAATATTGAAAATCGAAAAAAAGTCGGATTGAATATTGAATCGAAATTGAAACAAAATCAAACCGATTAAGGAAAAATCAAACCGAATCGAACTTATTATTGACACGCACATTTTACACCTGTTGCTCCGAATTCAAATGTGTAGCATCATCTCCAATGGAGTAGGGGTGGGTTAAAAATATTGAAAATCGAAACAAAATCGGATTGAATATCGAATCGAAATCGAAACAAAATCAAACCGATTAAGGAAAAATCGAACCGGTTTTGGTTTTGAAGGTTTGAAAATCGAACTGAAACGAATCAAATCGATTTCCTTTACAATTTATGAATATATGTCCATAATGTTTCTTTTGTGAAATTTGTTGCCAAGTTTGAAATTAAGCCTAGGGTTTTTTCAAGGAGCATACTTGGTTCAATTTGAGAGGATATTTCATTGGTTATAGGAGAAATTTTTTGCAAGGCTTGTGAACTTGGAAGGTTTTGCAATTAAGGTTGTTGATATAATACGATTGATTTATATGATCTTGTATATGTACAACTACCTTCTCACTTTGCTTATTTTCTTATTATTAGTCTACCAATGCAAGCTTCTTTTCTTAATTTCTATTAATTAATGAAACCCTCTTTGTCAACCAAAAGAGGGTGAAAAGACAACTTAGTCTTCTATACACAAAAAAATGATGGGCAATAATATAATTTCACTGGTCCAAATTTTACTATTTTTTTATTGAAGCCTCACCTACAGGTGATGTTAAAATATCTCTAATATTTAAAATAAAAAATATAAAAAAATAAGAAAAAACCCAAAAACAAAAACCTCTCACTCCCTCCACATTCTCTCTCTCTCTCTCTCTCTCTCTCTCTCTCTCTTTTCCCCTCTCATTTTCTAAAAAAATGTGTTCATATACACAAAATGTGTAGGCAAATGCTAGTTCCATATTAAAAAATGATAAAGTTTTACTAAGAAAAATGAAACCAAAAAAAAAAACCGAACCGAAAGAAAATCGAACCGAACCAAATCGAAACTTCAATTTGGTTTTAGTTTTCACAAAAAAACCGAACCGAATGAAACCAAACCCACCCCTACAAAGGAGACAGAAATGTCAATTACCACATGCAAATGAAGAGATTTAAATTTTGATTTACAAGTGTAATTAGTTTATAAGTTTTTCTTCTCGCATTTCAAAATCAAAATTCAAAATTTAAGTTTCATACAGGTCAATGGCTCGTTTTGTGACGACCCGTCCGGAATTATTATATATTTTTGTCCCCAAGTATGTAAAGTGACATAATGCCCTTGTGGTTTTGTGACATGGATGTACATATGTAGTTTTAAATTATCTTCCTCGCTAACATAATTAAATCGTACTTGACGCGTGTTGACGCAAGTTAGGGTCGAATTGGATTCCTATCGAAAGTATTACGATAATTTAAGAGCAAGATTGGGTAGGATTTAATTTTTGGGTTGCCTATCACATATCGACCAGTTATCTTCTTTCTTACAACCTTGAGCCCAATTAGAATTTTTGGGTTTATTTTATTTCCTTTGGACCAATTAATTAGACCCTAAATCCTATAGCCTAATCAGGGCTTGTGACCCCTTTTATTTTAGCCAACCCGTGACCACACAGGCACACATACACACGTGCAACCCTTCACTCTTTCCCTCATCTTCTCAAAATTTCCCTCATCCTTACACCATACGACCATCACTCTCAAACTTACCATAATTTCTACGGATCGACCCTATTGATACTACCATCATACTTCTCTCAAGGTTACGAGTTCATCCATACCATTAGGTCAAGGAATAAACATCAGAAACCTTGGAACTCATGAGCTCCGGCGAGGTGCTTTGTTGCTCCGTCATGATTGTGGACGTTCCACGAAGTTTAAAGCTTAAGGAAGTTCTGAATCAACTCTATAGAGACCCTAGAGTAGTTTTAGGGTGGAGTTGACGTTGGGATAAGAGGATTCATGAAGTTTCAGTTTGGCCGGGGTTTTCTAAGCTTTATTCCGACCACTTTCCACGTTTTTAGGACCTCAAATAGGTATGGTTGTGTTCTATTCTTCAAGAGCTTCAAATCCATATAAAATTCATGGATTTTAGTTGAAAAATGAAAAAGATATTGAAGTTTGAAAATTTTCCATAATCCAGCTTAACAGACGGCGGCGGCTCCGGCCAAGCCCACTGGAGAAGAAGGAGAATATTCCATCAACTTCAATGGAATATGCTAACGGCGTCAAGTAACTCCGTTAGTTTTTAAACGAAATATTCCCTAACGCCGTTAGGGATTCTATCAATGTGCCAGGTACGTGCCTGCGCATGGTCGACGCGTGTAGCCATGCCTGGGCCGATGCTTGAGGGTGCATATGACGTCCAAATTTTTTCTAAAAATATGGGGGTTGTTTGTGTTGTTGAGTAGATCATGTTGGTATATTCTAACACCCCATTTGAGCACCATATGAGGAATTAAACCTAACTTTTGTTTATGTGCTATCGAATTAACGTTAAATTAGTTATTTAGCATATAGGTGAGACGTACCCTGAGGACGAGCGTGGTTAGGCGAGACTTGGGGGCTACGATCCTGCTACTTACCAAAGGGTGGGCTTTTGTTTTCTATATATGTATATATGCTTATGACTCCCAGAAACTGTTTTAAATGAACGTATGTTTTAAATGCCATGTCATGTGTGCATTACGTGTTAGTATTGCATTAGTATAGTTATGTATAGTATTAGATGAGGCCGTGGAGGCCCATGTAAGCTTCAGGTGAGTACATCATGATGGTATTAGTTGTATTGTGTATGGTTAAACATTGATGCATTTTGACCTCATTATCCTACACCCCAATGTTAGTGCTCCAACCCATGGCCAGGGCACAATCCTTCACATGATGTTCACCTCCCGCATCGTACGCTCACCTTGGATCCAAGTTTGGTGCACATCCCTGTCATATAGACCACAATAGGTGGTTCCTACTCGTAAATGACCCGTGATTATTCGCACAGTCTTCACGTGATCGTAGCACTCGAGCGTACTTATTTACACCCAGCCCTATCGTACAGACCACAATAGGTGATTCTGACTCGTGTGCAGGCATACCTGATGAGCTATAGATTCAGCCGTACATGTCACATTAGGTGACTCCGGTTGTCATACTATTTTACATTGATTTGTGTCACCTAACTTGCACATTTTATTGTTGAGCATCTTGACATGGCATACCTCTATTTTCACTTCTTCTAAGCATTGTTTTTATATACCTACGTGTTATTATTTTCTAGGAAATTATACGGGGTTTACAGTGAAGGGTTAGTATGTTCATAAAGACAACTGTGTTTTCAAAAGCTTTGTTTTTGCCCACTCACGTTTCGGTTTTGCACCCCTCTAGGTTCTAGGTAGCTGATCATCCTTGGTGGTTCACAAGGACTTCATGGCGGTTCTGACATCTCTATAAATAAGTAGGGATCTTCTTCCTGTTTGTATAATTAGTACTCATTCAGTTTGACTGCACTTGTGATACTTATACTCTGAAATGTTTGTAGCATGACTAGGTCACTTCCACACACACTTCGTATTATCTTTAATATAGATAAGTTTTAGTTAGTTTTTATTTATTTATTCACAATTTCTTATTATCATTTTCACTTGTGTTGTGCACTTGGCTACATCACCCTCACGTGATGGCCAACACGTCTCGACTCCAGTCGGGGCGTATCACGTTTACAAATCCGTAATCAGAATGAGTGAAATTGAATTAAGGAGGAGTTGGAATGGGGTGGAATTAGAGTCAGATTCCTATTACTGTTTATTAAAATTTCTTGAAATCAGAGTAGCGATCATATTATCCCGTCACCAAAATTTTAGAGTTAATTTATTCCCTGTTTTAAGTATAGCAAGTTATTACAAATTTCAAGGAAGAAAGTTTTATAAGTTGGGGAGGATGTGATATCCCGTCCCGAAATTTATTTATTTATTTATTTTACGGTTTTGGTAAAAATGATTTCAAGAGCATTTTGATCATTTAAATTTTACTTTGGTGTTTGGAGGTGAGATTAGAACATATTGGTAGAGCCCGATCCTACGACCATTTAGGAAAAAATCGTTTGCGAATCGGAGTTGAAACGAAGAAGTTAGAAGCGTTTCTAACACAAGGGTTGCTAATTCATCAATTACTATAAATGGAAGGGAAGTGACACACCCCGACCTGGATTAGCCTTCTAGTTAAGGGTGGAAATGTGTTGGTAATCACTAAATTATCGATAAAACCTAGTAGAGATGATGAAATACCATCAACTTAAAAACGAAGATAACGAAATTGTGATATGAAACATTTCAAACCGAAAGGCTCTTTTATTAATTTTAGACTGTCATCTAAGTCCCCTACACAACCTCCCCACTTGGGGACACATCCTAGAGATAAATTCCATTTTATTTATATCACATCAATCAGAGCATAACAATAGTGCATACAATAGCAAACCACAAAATGTGTCGTGCTAAGCCCACTCGTCCTCCTCGAAAGTTGGCTTGCACTTGCTAGGTCCTAAGGGGGCGCAAAACAAAGTTTGATTGGATCATAATCATTTATCAAATAAAATCATTTTGAACATACTAGCCCTTTTTTTAGAAAACATATATAGTTGGAAAACTATGTAATAGTATTTACTACTGTAATAGTAAATGAAATCACAATCAATTCATCAATAGAAATCCTTCAATCAGTAGTTCAGAAATCATACATGTACTCAATCAATCATACTAGCATAAGTATAGCATGCAAGCTCTACTAGCTAAATAAGTAATCTACGGTCAATAAGTATAGCATGTATTAACACCTGTATAGCATGTATTAATAAGTATAACATGTATCAATATGTAATAGTATATCATGTAGTTCAGAAATCATAAAATCTCTACC